ATTGTTCATTTCTATTTGCATGATATATCTTTTTCCATCCTTTCACTCTTAGTCTATGTGTGTCTTTACAGGTGAGGTGAGTCTCTTGAAGATAGCATATTGTTGGGTCCATCTTTTTAATCCAGTCAGTCAGTCTGTGTCTTTTGAGTGGAGAATTTAATCCCTTTACATTTAGAGTTATTATTGATTTACTCTTAGCATTTTACTGATTTTTGTTTATATGTCTTAAGTACCTCCTGTTCCTTTCTAATTTTCTGTTTGTCTTCTGTATTTGTTGGTTTCTTGGGGTGATAGATATACTATTTTTTTTTCTCTTTTGTTGGCATTTTTGTTTTGCTGGTAGGTATTGTTCTTTCTTAAGTATTCATGGCAGTGATGGTTGTTTTTGTGGTATCAAATCCAGTACTTCCTTGAGAATTTCTTGTAGGGCTGGTCGTGTGGTAGGGAACTCCCGCAGTTTTTGTTTGTCTGAGAAATATACTATTTGTCCTTCATTTTGGAAGGATAGCCTTGCTAGGTAAAATATTCTTGGCTGGCAGTTTTTGTCCTTTACTGTTTTGAATATATCACCCCATTCTTTTCTGGCATTTAGGGTTTCTGATGAAAAGTCTGATGTTATTTTGTTTGGGGCTTCCTTATAGGTGACTTGCTGCTTCTCTCTTACAGCTTTTAAATTCTCTCTTTGTCTTTGAGATTTGCCTGTTTGATTATCACATGTCTTGGAGAGGATCTTTTTGTGTCGAATGTGTTTGGGAATCTTTGGGCTTCCTGAATCTGGAGATCTGTGACTTTCCCTATACCTGGGAATTTTTCTATTATTTCATTGAGCATGTTTTTAATTTCATTTCCTTTTTCCTCCCCTTCTGGAATACTCATGATTTGGATATTTGAGCACTTAAGGTTGTCTGTAGTCTTTCTTAGATTTTCTTCAGTTTTTTTGATTCTTTTTTCTTTTTTCTGTTCTGCCTGTGTTAATTCAAACAGTCTGTCTTCAAGGTCAGAAATTCTCTCTTCTGCTCATTCAAGTCTGCTGGTTAAACTCTCTGTTGTGTTTTTTGTTTTGTTGAATGAATCCTTCAGCTCCACAAGCTCAGCTACATTCTTTTTCAAGGCATTGATTTCTTCGTACATTTCTTCTTTCAGGTCCATTATTTTTTTCTCATTTCATTGTGTTGTCTGAGTTTTCTTGTATCTCATTTAGTTTCCTTAGAATTGTTACTCTAAATTCCTTGTATGTCATTTCAAAGACTTCCTGTTCTATAGGATCTAGTGCTTGAGAGTTATTGATTTCCTTTGGTGGCGATGTACTTTCTTGTTTTTTCATATTTCTGGTATCTTTCCTTTGGAATTTTGTCATTGTGGCTGGGGGTATCACAGTTCACTCATTTCACCCTGATGTCTGGCTTGGATCCTGAAGGGACTGCTGCTTCTGGTCAGCAGGAACTAGGCTAGGCTGGGGTTCCCACTGCGCCTGCCTGTTCTGGGACAGCTGGCTCGGGGTGTGGGGGTCCTGAGGGTTTTAAGTCTCTCCCCAGGGGTGGGGATCGGCCTGGGCCAGAGGTCCCACCCCACCTGCCTTCTTTGGCCTGGCTGCCTTGGGGTGAGGGGTCCCCAAAGCTCCTAAGGCTCTCCCAGGGGTGGGGAACTGCCTGGGCCAGAAGTCTCACCCTGGTTGCCTTCTCCAGCACAGCTGGCTCGGGGTGTGGGGGTCCCAAGCCTCTCAAGTGTCTCCCAGCAGCAGGGACTAGCCTAGGCTGGAAGTCTCACCCCACCTGCCTTCTCCGGCATGGCTGGCTCAGGGTGTTGTGGCCTCTGAGCCTCTTAAGTCTCTCCTGGTGGTGGGGAATGTGGGGGTCCCAAGCCTCTCAAGTGTCTCCCAGCAGCAGGGACTAGCCTAGGCTGGAAGTCTCACCCCACCTGCCTTCTCTGGCATGGCTGGCTCAGGGTGTTGTGGCCTCTGAGCCTCTTAAGTCTCTCCTGGTGGTGGGGACTGGCCTGGGCCGGAAGTCATGCCCTGCCTGCCTTCTCTGGCCTGGCAGGCTCAGGGCATGTGGGCCCAGAAGCTCTAAAGTCTCTCTGTGCAGGGGTTCATTGGCACGCAGTTCCTGCCTGTTCCAGTGCACATCTTGGGTCTTCTGCCATTGCTCCTTAATAGTTGCAAATTTGTTGTTCTGTGGGAGAGAGCAACACCAGGAACCAACTACTCTGCTATCTTGACCTGAACCTCTCCTATGCTCTTTGGATGAAGTGAGAAATCATTATTTGAAAAAGAAAAAGACCAAAAAAAGATCTAAAGCTATCCAGCTAATTCTAGGCATAAGAGAGTCCCACTTCAGTAATTAACATTCAGTCCTAGATACTTGTCAGTTACTAACAGCCTAAGCCTGTTTCAGGTAAGAAGCTAGCAAGTGAAATAGGGCATGGCTGGGTTTCCCTATTGATGACTGCTCTGCTCCCAGATTCTGAGCCCTCCAGGTTCAAAGGGGGAAAGGGAGAGAAGAGAGGTAAGGGGTCTGTAGTGTGCTGATCCTGGTTTCTTCGAGTCTATATGGATGCTGACTGCTCATTCTCCCTCCTAGGATTCTTTGAGTTCTTCAGCATCCCTCCCTCCCTGCCACCCATCTCTCACCTGGATTTCCCTGATACAGATGATATCTCTCTTGTTTGCAGTACTTGGCTTCACTGTTGACTCTTAGTGTAGAGTCTCTGTAGAGCTCCATTTTTCTTTAGGTGGCCCTCATAGGTGAGTCCCTTTAAGATGGCACTAGACTGGCATTCTCTGTAGAGTCTCTGTAGAGCTCCATTTTTTCTTTAGGTGGCCCTCATAGGTGAGTCCCTTTAAGATGGCACTAGACTGGCATTCTCTTTCATGAAATCCACATTGGAAATACAGGAAACAATTGTGCATCCTTTCTATTCACAAACTCGATATACATGCCATTTGCAGTGCAGCCACCTCTTCTTGAGGACCCTTCTGAGCAACCAGCTGACAATAGCCTTGTGCCTCTAGGCTCTGATTTTTCTAGGCATGGGTCCACTAGGACCCTCATTCTCTTAGGGATACAGGTTAAGGTCTGCAAGTGATATTCATTAAACCTTTCTTTTTCATCTTGATGCGAAGATTCCTCCTTCCCCAAACACAAACGCAGAGGAGATAGAATTCAGAAAGACATCCTCCAATTTCTACCTCTCTTTGACCTTTTTGAAGCTCTTTATAGGCTGAAGGTCATTGCTAGTGAAGATCCCCCAAACTGGTTTTCAGTTACCTTTTTGCAGATCCTGCTTTGGGGCCTAGGCACCTCACTTTGAAATTTGGAGCAGGTGGAACCTATTGTCATGGGGCCTTAGCAGAAAATGAGCAGGATTCTCATTTCAACTTTTTATGATATGAAGTATCTAGGAATGGTTAGGTATGTGAGGGGTTTCAGGTTAGGAAAAATTCTAGAATTATTAAACTTTGAGATGAGTTTTGAACAAAATCTACAAATGTTTAGACACCTGGCTTTCTTCATTTCTTCTAATTCTCAACTCCTCCCCTATTTCCTACCCCTTAAAATATTGGAATGGCTGTAGGATATACTAAAAGTGTCTGTAACATTAGATAAAATCCTGAGTATTCCTCACAGTTTCTTTTCCATCCCTCTGTCCTCCACAACAGTGACTGAAGAGCCAAAAACAAACAGGTCTTATATATCTTTTGGAACTCAGAAGAAAAGTCCCTGTGGTGTCTTTATCAGTTCAATTATAAAAACTACAGTGAACACAAATTGTTTTAATGCATCTTCTGTGAGTGCATCTTTCAGAGAACTGACACTTTTAGTGACCAAAGCACTAGAGAATTATTTCAAAGGAACCTTTATAATACACACACCAAGCTTGCATAGACACTAAGAAATCCCTAAACAGCAATTCTTAGATGATTGTCAAGCTGCAAGGATTTCTGACCCCAAATTATTTTGCATTTAAGAGAGAGCAAGGAAATAATCTGAAATCCATATTTTTCTCTCTTTTTTTTTTTTTTTTTTAAAGATGACTGGTAAGGGGATCTTAACCCTTGACTTGGT